AGTGGGGTGTCTGACCCAGAGGACTTTGCTTGCTGATGTCTCTATCCTGTTGGCAGTGGGGCGCCATGCAGGGTATTAGGCAGCAATTAACATGGTCCGAGGTGTGTTTTATTTTATTTATTTATTTTTAAAGATTTATTTATTTATGCATACAAGAGCTGGGGTGCAGGCCAGAGATGAAGGGGGTGAGAGGATTCACCAGAGACAGTGTGGGGAACAGAATAAGCAGACTGACTGAAATACACCACTGAGGGGAGCAGCGGGCGAGACAGGAGAGGTCTGCTGTGCCATGTGGGTCACCTCCCTGGCCAGGGATTGAACTCATGCTGCAGTGGCTGCTGATAGCTTCATAGTGCTGCGTCTTAAACCCTTGTGCCACCAGAGAGACCCCTGAGATGTGTTTTAGAAGGACCTTCTGGCATCCAGAGTACGGAGGGTGCATTGGAGATAGGAGAGTTAGAGGCCTGTTAAAGCAGCAGTTCTCAATGTTTGACATTGATAAAAGTTTCCCAATCCCAGAGACACAGGTTCCTAGGGGGTGCTGGGAGCACCCAGGAATGTGCACATTTAACTGGTGGTCCAGCTGACTCAGATGCATCTAAGAGTTATTCTTTGAGAATCACCAAGATAGGACATCATGGCTTTTAAAGGTCCAAATGAAACTTGTATGATGCAAAAGTTCTGTATCTTGATGGTGATGGTAGTCACATGAATTGACATGTGATAAAATTGCATGGAACTAAATGGATATGCACGCATGCACACATGCTGAGTGTATGCAAAATGTAAAATCTGAAGGAAGTGGATACACTCAATGGCAATTTCCCTGTTGTGAGATGTTGCCATTGGGAGAGACCAAGTGAAGGGTATAAGGGCCTCTTGTATTATTTCTTAGAGCTGTTTGTATATCTATAATTATCTCAAAATAATTTTTTTTAAGTATAGGTGAGAGACCCAGGCCTGACCTTGAACCCTGAGGGATGAAGCCTGGACAGGGTGAAGAGGAGTCAGTGATTCAGAGATGGAAAAGGTACTCCTGATGCTGCCTCCTCAGCCCCCACCTCATTCAGGGCAACGGAAGTCAAGTGTGCTTGCGTTTGTGTGCATGGAAAGGGTAGAGAGAAAACATTTAAACACTGAATTGCGTCTGCAGGGATTAAGTGCCTGAGGAATGAGATTTGTTTTATTAGCATGCTTTAAATCTTATTCTTTGTGCTGTGCAGTTCTCAGTTTTGACAAATGCAGAGAATCAGTCATCTGCCACCCAGGACCAGACAGAATAGTGCCATCATCCTAAATATTCTCCTGAGCACTGGCTTTGTAGTCAGCCACATCTCCCTCCAGCAACCGCTGATGATGAAATGAATTCTTAAGTGTATATTGAATTCCAAAAGGTAAAAATATAGGGCAAGACACTGAAAGCAGATGGCACACTAAGAAGAAGGGACTAGAGACTGTTTTTAGGAGTCACTAACCCAAAGCCAATGAGCACCATGCTTCAGCGTTGGGCTTGAATGCAGCAGGGGTCTGTAAATGTTGGGTGGGGGTGGTTGAAATATGAACCGTTCGATCTTGAGCACGGTCTTGATCACTGACTATCTCTAAGCCCCAGTTTCCTCATCTATAAAATGGGGCTAACCCAACTCAGGGTTTAGTCATTCAACAAACATTTTTGAGGTCCTACTATGTGCCTGGTGCTGACCTAGGTTCTAGAGATATGCCAGTGAACAAAATAGACAAGGATTCCTACCCCTGTGTTGCTTATATTTGAGGAAGGAGACAGACAAATATAAAGACAAGATGCTAAGTCCTATGAAAAAAAAATGGAGCAGAGTTATGGAGCTGGGAGATGGTGGAGACTTGCTCTTCCAAACAGGGTGGTGGGGGCCGGTTGGGTGGTGTGAACAGCTAAGCCAATGTTGAAGGAGTGAGGGAGCTAATGTTGCAGCTGTGTGGCTAGGACTGCTTGAGACATAGGTGGGAATATGGCCCGCGGGCAACAGGAAGAGCCAGAGGCCAGCATGCAGGGAGCAGGAGGAGGAGATCAGTCAGGTAGCAGCAGCCAGATAGCCCAGCATCTTGAAGGCCATGGAGCCTTTATTTCTAGTGAAACGGGAAGTCAGGGCAGAGGTTTCGAGCTGAGGAATTACATGATCTGATTTAGGTTGTTGTGATGGCATTAAATCATTGTATTAAATATTAAAATGAATATTAACTATTTAAAAGGGCCTGGCACAAAGCCTGGAGCATGGCCTGTGCATCTCCTGTCCGAAAGTCCATAATGGGGGCATTCATTGATGTGCCCGAAGGGATGTGGGTGCCAGGGGAGGGAGGGCACAGGCCCGTGTGAGTCACTGGCGCCCTCTCCTGGAGGAGTTTGCACTGGTGGACCTGAAGCCCTCAGGTCCTGGCCTGGCCTCCACTCTGGGCAGCTGCCTGCAGGACACTCATCTGTCCCTCAGAATGGGCCCCACAGTGCTCTTCAGCCTGGCGCCAGGCTAGGTATGTGCTGCCTTGCAATCACAAGCTTATGGTGTCATGGAAAGAAATCTGGGCTCAGAGGCCAAGGAGCCTCGGACTCGGTCCTCCCCTGCCACACATAAGCTGTGTGACCTTGACACTTCACCCAACCTCTCTGGGCCGGGAGGCATTTCCTCAGAGTTTTAATGAGGCACCATGTGCCCAGCACAAGGTAAAAGCTCAGTAAATGTTCATTGAATCAACAAGTGAAGTGGGGGCCATCAACCTTAACGGTCAATATTTAATTTAGAGAAAAGTAAATAAATGTATTTTATTTTTAATATTAATATTTTATTTTATTTTTATTAAATAAATGTTGAATGTATTTTCATTCAACAAGTATTTAAATATTTAATAAGCACCTTCTGTGAACCAAACACTCTTCAGGGCACTGGGGATAAAACAGTGAATGAAACAAACAGAAACTTTGCCCTTAGGTAGCTGACATGTTAGGTGTATGCGTCCTGTACAAGCTGGTGGTGAGAGCAGGAACCATGGGGAACGAGTATGTTGTCTTAGGGTGGATTGATGGGAAGAAAGTAACCCTTTAGCCCTCAGTTCCTGGCTTAGGCACATTTGCTTCCAGTACCCTCCCTGCTCCACCTCCTTCAGGTGGGGTCTGGTGGTCCCATGGGAGCATCAACCCCTTCATTCTGGATGTTCAGAGTCTTGAAGGAGAAGATTCCAGAGAGTCCCAAAGAGCAGAGGGAGGTTTTGCCATGGAGGTGATGGGTTGTGCGTGACCACAGGAGACCCAGATCTTTTTGGTTTATTTTTGTCCATTACCTGCGAGGACCACATCCATCTGTCTGCCCTAGATTTGTTGGGTCACCGTCCAGTTCCCCACAAGACAGGCAAAGCAGGGTGCACAGAACCAGAATTCCTAGTCCCAGAAGGCTCTGAGCAGGGACTGCTTCCCCACTGGGGGGCACTGGGTGAGGCTGAGTCTTCTCAGAGGACCGGTGCTGGCAGTCACAGGAGGCAGATGTGTGCAGAGAGCAGGGCTTCTGACTCAGCTGTATCTGGCCGGGAGGGGCTGCCATAAAGGTAGTGAGTTCTCTGACACAAGAGGCATTCAAGCAGAGCTTGATGACTGCTCGTCAAGGTTTTGGGGCAAGGCTGGAAGGGGCTTCTCCACTGTGGGGTCATCTCCTGGGGAACATTGAGGTCTCACTCTGAGAGTCTAAGATTCTCACACTCTGTCCATCTTAGTGACATGTCTGTATCTAAGCTTTTGTTGAGGATGGGGCTGCCTCTATGACCTTCCCTGGCCAGTGTCCCTTTATTCTTTTTTTTTTTTTTTAAAGATTTGTTTATTTATTTATACAAGCACTGGGTACAGTCAGAAGCGCGGGAGGGTAAGAGAATTCACCAGAGCCAGAGCAGGGAGCAGAGCAGGCAGAAGGACCAAAGTACACTGCTGGGGGGAGCAGCGGGAGGCAGGAGAGGTCTGCGCACCATGCGGGACCCTCCTCCGGTGGCCGGGGAGCAGCCGGGGATTGAACCGGAGCTGCAGAAGCTGCAGGCAGCTTCGCAACCCAGCACTCAACCGCTGCGCCACCCGGGAGGCCCCCTGTCCCTTTATTCTTTATATGAGGGCGCATAACTCATTCAGAGCAAAGAGGAAGGAACTAGAATTACTCACAGACACAAACGCACAGACAAACATGCACATACGCATGCACATATCACCTTAGACACATGGGCCCAGCCTCCCCTTCCCCCACTGTGTCTCCCATAGAGACTAGTATAGACTCCAGGGCCCCCAATGGGCTTTAGGCTAAGAGTTCCTTACCCACCCCTCCTATGTCCCAGTGGGAAAGCCCTGGAAATGCTAATTCCAGTCTCAGAGTTCTACTGCAGGTTGTTTGGGGCCCGTAGGTTTCATCCCACTGGAGCAACCAGAGAGAAGAAATGAGCCCCGGGGGGCCTGGGTAGGAGGGAGGACCTGGAGCGTAGGCCCAGATGCTCCGTGGCAAAGGGGAAAATCTCCATGAAGAAGGGGCCTTCTCAGAGGGAGGGACTACACACCTATGGGGAAGGGCCACATCAAGGAGGGGAGGAAGTCAAAGACAGCAGAAGGGCTTGTAGAAGTTTCTGGGGAAAGTCAGCTAGGAACGTCAGACAAGGGACCTTAAGTCTAAATCTCATTAGGTTTATTTCACCTACAGACTGTCTGAATGTGTCATGTTTGTGATCTCTACCTTCCCTGTCTCTAAAGGGTAATCCCTAAATCTGTGGGGAGTGGCTGGAAGGCCAAGGCCTGCACATACTCATCAGGCTTCCTAAATCTTTGATCTCCCTGAAAGGTATTTTCTGGAAGGAGTGTGAGAGAGAGAGCTTTCTCTCCCGGCCCGCCCCCACGCTGCCCAGTTACCCCCACGCTCTATATTGACTCATTAAGCTTTGGCCACAGACACTTTCAACATATCAGTGTGAATGTTTGATTTTTTTTTTTTTTTTTTGTATCCCACCCTCCCATTTTCCCAAATTCTCCCCAAATGTCCCTTTGGTGTTTTAATTGAGATGGCAGTGCACTGATGATAGATTAATGTAGGATGAAATGACATCTTTAGAGTAATGAGTCTTCTTATCCAAGAACAAGACAGAATTTTCCATTTCGCTTCACACTCTTCTTTTCCCTGAATTGACCCTTGTGTATAGCAGGTACTCCGGCAGGTTTAAGTGAGCTTCTTTGGGGATGGGGCTGGGGACCCCCACTTCAGAGCCAGCCTGTGGGCACCTGCGGTGTCCTTCCAGGAAGCAGTGGGAAGTGCCCCTGGGCCCTGATGATCTGAAGATGAGGTAGAGGGCCCAGGGTGCAGTCCCCGAACTGGGGTGTAACAGGAGGTGTTTGTAGGTCCCCAACCATAGTGCCTGGCCCATCCCCTCCCCCATACACCATATGCATATGGCAAGACTGGGAGGCTCTGGGAAGAAAGGGGTCACGGGCCCTGAGGGACAGTGTGGCTGGGCAGGAGGGCAGCACACAGTTCATCTAGGGGTGATCCTGGGGGCCCCCAGAGGACACCAGGCAGTGTTCTCACTTGTGCTTATCTTTTTATTGTTTCTGTCCAGAGCCCCTCCAGTGGGGGAGGGGCAGGCACGGGGAGGTGGGCACCCCTCCCACCTGCCAGAGACCGCCCTCTGCCTCTCTCCTCTCCTCTCCAGCATCTCATCCACCCTCTCTCCTTCTAAATTTCCTGCTCCCACATCTGGCACCTTCGGGATACCCTCTTGCAGCCCCTGCTTTCTAAGCCCACCCTGGGAAAGTAAGGGACCATGGGGTCAGTTTCAAGTCCCACCCTGGTCTCCACAGGGGGCTAGTCCCCCAGTTCCTTGCCCTTTCAGTCCCTGACCCGGGCTGGGGAGTGGGGAGGTCCAAGGGGCTTGATCCTGACCCTGTGGGTTCATGAAACCCTACTCTGAGGCCCTCTCCTAAGCCAGAGCCTGGGGTCCCGGAGGCGGGGCAGAGGGCAGGGTCAGCACTCTGCCTTGGCTCCATCCCGGCCCTGCCCAGCACACCTTGAGGGCAGCCAAGAGCCAGGCTCACTCATTTCCTAATATCCAGGACTCACACGACTGGGGTGTGCTCTGTGCCGGGCAGGGAAGTGCCGTGTCCCCAGTGGGGACCACGAAGGCATTCTGGTGAGCAGGGGTCAGAGGCTGTGAGGGGAGCTCTGTGGCTGTGTGTGGTGCCCTAGGATGGAGGGAGGCTGGCTTCAGGAGGCAGTGAGGACAGGGGCAAGGACGGTCTCTGGTGGCAGAGGAGTCTCTGGCTTTAGAGCACCTCGTGTTGCTGCTGTGTGGCCTCACTGACAACCTGGGGAGGAAGAGAAACCAGTCCAGAGGGATGCTGGCTGGAGACTGGGGCAGCCGCTCTGGACTGCTGCCTGACCCGGCGCGGCAGGGCCTCCTCCCCAGGCAAGGGCTTCAACCAGCCCCGCTAGGGGAAGGCACGGGCTGGCAGTCTCCAGACGCACCCCATACCCCCAGCAAGGATAAGGGGCCAGGCAGACCACTCACCTCCCCGTCCCGGGTCTCGATGGTTTTGATCATCACTGTCTTCTTGGTATGGACCTCAGAACTCCTTTGCTCAGGGCTGGTCTCTGCAAAGGATCCGTCCACATGCTCAGCCTGACCAAGTCCGTCCCTGCTCTCGAGGGGCAGAGCCGGAAGACTCCCATCCCCTCAAGATGGGCCTGTTAACTTCTTCAGCAACTTCTTTATCCCCGCCCTTGAGCCCAGCACCAGCAGGGGACCATTCCAGAGCTGAGACTGCCTGAGATGGCCAACAGTTGTGCTCCAGGGGCGGGGCAGAGGGCAGAGACCCCGAGACCCTAGCCGCCCACCACTCCCATCCCCCACACCTCTGGTTCCCACTCCACTCTTGCACTTCTGTTGAACCCCAAAGAATTTGTATCCTGCCAGTTAGAACCCCAAAGTCCAGTTCCAAGATACTCTGTAGAGGACCTCTAAGTGTCCTTTAGGGTACCTCTCAGTACCCCACAGCATTTAGGACTTGGGATGAGCCACTTGATGTCTTAATGAAAGAGAGCCAGGCAGGAGTCGGTCACTAATTCAGTGTCCTGGGGGCCGGTCTCTGCCCCTCTGAGCGTCAGTTTCCTCACCATGGAATGGTAACGACACTTGCCCTGTTGTGTCCACGGAACTATTGGTTTGAAAAAACACTCAAGTTTTAAAGGCAAGACTCACACTTGTGTCTGCATAATCTCCTAGCTGAAAAGAGAGGCTCTGAATTTTACAGGGAGGGTCAACTGGAAGTCCTGGGGGTGACGAGTGTGGTGTTCATGAATCTCCTTAGCGAGCAAGCAGCCTGGGTCGAGCGTGTGGCTCGGTGCAGCACTGCGTGTATTTTTTTCTGATGGAAATGAACATCGAAGACATAAAAGGTTTGATCTAGGAAAGGCAGAGCTGCCAAGGACTCCGACTCGCTTTCCTAATGTATCATTATGGTGTGTTTTTCTACTCTCTGGGGTTGGAAAGCCACCCGATCTGCATATTACTAATGTCAGTATGGCAAAATGCCCTAGGACCTCGTTCTTTTAATTGTTTGGCTTTGCTGAGGTTTGGCTTCTTTTTTTTTTTTTTTTAACGTGCATCCAACATTTTGCTCCAGCAAACTGGAGGTGTTCAACAAGCAGCTGTGAGCAGGGGGATTGGCAACTTGCCACACAGACCATGGGTGGTGGGGGGAAGGAAGGAAGGCCTGGGCATGTGGTTCTAGATGCCCCCACTCCAGGCCCCAAGGATGCCCCTGGTACCTTTGGGGTTGGTTTGTCAGAAAACAGAAGCTGTTTGCTGATGCTCAATACTCTAACAAGGTAGAGAGGACATGTCAATACCATGAAATAAAATCAAAAGCTCCCTCAGTTTAGGTAAACTCCCCATCTCCTGCAGCAGCCTCCTTTGTCTTCCCTGAACCCAGACCTGTCACCACAGTTCCATCCTCTGCTTCTGGCTGGCCTTAGGCAGTGCCATGCTGGACACCTAGCCCCTTCCTAGCCCCTTCCGCCTGAGCCTCCACCAGCTAATGCACTCACCTCGGAAGTTGAGGGAAGAGTAGGTCTGGATAGGCATGTTGATCCTGAAAGGGAAGAGACAAAGTCCCCTAGTGGTTAGGACCCTCGATCTCTCCGTGCGATGGCCCTGGTCTTCTCTACACACCGTCCTCAGTGGTCTCAGTCCCGTGGACCCCACACTCCCACTGCTGCCCTGCTCAGGGCATGAGGTCAAAGGCCAACTCCAGTCATCCCAGGCCCTGTCCCTTCTAGAAAGATCACCAATTCCATCTCTGATCTACTGAGGGACAACAGGACCCCCAGTCCGATTGCACTTTCCAGTTCACCAGACTTTACTTCTTGCTCCTGGCACTGCAGTATCAGTAATCCCTGTGGGTGACATCCATTGCGTGAGCCCACCCTCCAGCAGGCAGGGAACCTCCCGCCCACCATATGAGGGCAAGTTCCAGGAGCTGCCAGTCCCACTTATCCCCAGAGCTGGGAAAATTCAACACAACTTTAGCTGCCTTAAAAGGTCAGTCTATGTAGATGTTATTCTATAAAACCTGGTCTCTATAAAATCTAGACTATAGCTAAACAAGTCGGCTGATATTTTTTAACTTCAGTTAGTATCATTTTCATGAGTATCAATGGGTAGCATCTTTTTGAGTAATTGATCTACTTTTGGTTGAGGTTTAGTTTACATACAGTGAAACCCAGAGCTCTTTAGTGCACCATCCCATCCAGTGAGTTTTGATCAACATATACATTCATGTAACGACCAGTCCGTCCAAGCCAACTTACAGAACATCCCCATCACCCCAGAAGGTTCCCTCTCATTCCCTTCCAGCGGTTTGTTGTTTTCTGGGTCTAGAAGTGAGTTGCTCTGAGCATGTCATTCTGTCTCTTTTTCTCCTAGCACATGTGTACATGCGTATATGTGTACATCCGTGTGCATGTGTTTGTGCACACATGCACCCTCAGTACACAGGCCCCTGTATCCTCTCTCTCAGCCTCTGTGTCCAGGCCTCTCCGGTCTGTTTGTCTCTATCTGCTCCTCCCTTTCCTTCCTGATCATTCCTCACTCTGCGCTCATCTCTCCCTTGACTGGCAGTAATATTTTATTACTGGTTGCTGAATATGGTTTTATGCTGCTGGTTCTTAATTCTGAAGGTGGATGAGGGAATACTTATAGTTCTCTTTTTATAAAAGCTATTAATTAAATCATTTTTTACCCAGGTGGCTTTGGTTAATTCTCTGCAATTAGTGGAGCGGTAACCTCTTGTCTAAAACTGCTTCCAGATGTAGCTCAGGTGATCCCCTGATCCTCCAGGGCAGGAACACCCTCTCTCCCCTGCCCCCCAGCACCCCAGTTCCACCCCGACCCTCACCGGCTCTCCTCGCCCTCCAGCAGTTTCCTGTAGGTGGCAATCTCCACGTCCAGGGCCATCTTGACGTTGAGCAGGTCCTGGTACTCGCGGAGGTGACGGGCCATCTCATCCTTGAGGTGCCGGATCTCCTCCTCCAGGCGTGTGATACTGTCCTGGTAGCCGCTGGCCTCACTAGCAAAGCGGTCCTCCATCTCCCGCATCTGCCTCATCAGGGAATCATTCTGCAGGGGAGGGGTGCCCAGGTCAAGGACAGGCTGGGGGTGGGGAATCACACCAGGGTGGAGAGAGGCACACCCTCCGGGCAGGGGGCAACTCCAGATGGCCAGGAACAGGAGTGGACTCTTCCCAGACATGAAACCCTGCACTCAGCTAAAGTCTATGTGGAAACTCATGGAACAGAACTGGTCAAAGGGAGCATGGGTATGCGCCCCTCAGTCCCCGTGATTCCTCAGAGTCCAACTGGGAATCCACCATATTTTTGCACCCATGGACGATTTGAGGAGACAGACCCAGAAAGGGCATGGAATGGCCCCAGGGTGGGAAAACGAGGCTGTCTGGGTGACGTGGGTGGGACTCACAGTGCCCTTGAGGGCGTCGATCTCGCAGGTGTAGGACTGGATCTGATGCCGGTACTCCATCATCTCCTGCTTGGCCTGGCGCAGCGCGTCGTTGTTCTTGTTGGCTGCCTGGGTCAGGTCGGACACCTAAGGACAGAGAGAGGGGTCCTGAGACTGGGAGGCCACAGGACACAGGCAGGGGTGGGCACGGGGGCTGGAGACCCAAGCTCACCCTTCTCCCCACAGATGGAGCCACAGAAAGCACCCCAAACCAGGATTGCGTGGGCCAGAAAGGCCAGAGTCCCTGGACCAGGCTGCCCACCTTGGATTTGTACCACTCCTCAGCTTCCGAGATGTTCTTAGCCGCGATGGTCTCGTACTGAGCCCGGATGTCCCTGAGGGCAGCGGTGAGGTCTGGCTTGGACATGTCCATCTCCACCTGGACCTGCTGTTCCTGAAGCTGGGACTGCAATTCTCGGATTTCCTGCAAGATGAAGCGATTCAGCTTCAGTCTCCCACCAGGTCCTGCACAGCACCTCTCACCCCCATTCCTAGAGCCTGGGCACCACCCCTCCAGTCTCAACAGCTTTCACCAGGACCTAGTACCCCAGGAGAGTGGCAGAGGGCATACCTCCTCGTGAACTTTCTTAAGGAACGCGATTTCCTCATTGAGAGATTCGATTCTGCGTTCCAGGTCAATGCGTGCTAGAGTGGCTGCATCCACGTCCTGGGAGAGGTCAAGCGAGAGGGACAGGGTCACCAATCACCCAAGCAGGGCAGAGGGAGTCCAGGGGCCACACGGGAGGGGGGTGGCAGTGCAGAAGGGATACAGCTGTTGGAGGATCAGAGAGGGCTCACCGCTCGGAAGGCAGCCAAATTGTTCTCTGCTTCTTCTCTTAACTGAATTTCCTCTTGCAGCCTGGCCATGACAGACAGACAGAAGGACAGACATTAGTGGGGATAAAACCGTCAGTGGAGATGACTAGCTAGGGTCTGACCAGGGAATGGGCTCGGGACTCAGAGCGGAGGCCTGGCCACTGGGTAGAGACAGGCCCCGCCCGGGGAGGGGACAGGAAGTGACCCAAGCTCTGCCCCGGAGACACACCCTGGAAGTCGATGTCCCCAACAGATTGTGACCTCCCTGGGGTTAGAAACCGAATGACTGCTTCCCTGCCCCAGCCTGGCTGATGTAGGGGTTCAATTAATGTTTGTGACCTGGGTGGCAGGACCCGACTCTGCTCACTTGGGCTGCAAGCTTTCTGAGGGCTGCACCCACCCCACTTTCTCCTTTCTTCTAACTTCTCCGTCCCCTTATGCACAGACTCAGCCAGGCCCAGGGACCCAGAGGCCCTCTCTACTCTGTCCCCAGGTCTTCATCACAGATGAGGTGAGAGCTCCCGCCTGGACAACCCCCCACACCCACCCGCGATCTCCTATCAACCTCCCTCTCCCTCTGACGGCACTGGGGCCTCCATGCTACATCTGCCTGTCTGATCTCAACATCACCCCTTCATGGGCGTTACTCTGGCATCTTCCATGCTTTTTAAGCTTGGTCTCTCCCATTTCCACCAATAAAGCTCCCATTGTCCCCAAGAAAACTCCTCCTTTGCAGAGTGAGGGCACAGGGAAAGAGAGATCTGGAGTCCCTCTCCCTGGGTGGGCAAAGGTAGACGCCCTGTCCCTGCATGGGGCAGGAGAGGGTCCCAGGAGCTCTGGAGAAAGGAGAAGGTGGTCAGCTGCCAGCCGGCCCTAGGCCTGGGCCTCGCCTCCCACAGGCAGCCCGTGGGGAAGGGGTCTGGGCGCGCGGGGCCTCACTTGGCCTTGAGGCGCTGCAGGTCGTCGATGAGGTTGTCGCGCTCGAGGTCCACGCGGGCGCGCTGGTTGGTGAGCACCTCCACCTGGCGCCGCAGCTCGCGCAGCTCCTCCTCGTAGATCTCGGCCACTCGGGTGGGCTCCCTGCCCTTGAGCCGGTTCACCTCAGCGGCCAGCACCGCGTTCTGCTGCTCCAGGAAGCGCACCTTCTCGATGTAGTTGGCGAAGCGGTCGTTGAGCTCCTGCAGCTCCGCCTTCTCGTTGGTGCGTGTGGTCAGGAACTCCTGGTTCACGGCGTCGGCCAGCGAGAAGTCCAGCAGCTCCCCTGCGCCGTAGGAGGGCGCGCGGGCCGACCCCAGCCGGCTGGAGCGCAGGGAGCCCAGGCCGCCCGCCCCGCCCGACGTGCGCGACACCTGGTACACGCGGGATGTCATGGAGCTGGAGGAGCCCTTGGAGCCGAAGCCCGCGCGCGGGAACACCGGGGAGCTCAGGGGGGAGCCAAGCGAGAAGCTGGGGCCGCCGCCGAAGGTGCGGCGGTAGGAGGACACGCGCTGGCTGGACGAGTAGGCCTGGCTCATGGCGGCGGCGCGGCGAGGCTGGGCGGGCTCGGACGAGGCTGGACGGTCGGTCGGCGCCGGCTGGAGAGCGGTGTGTGGAGGGTGGACGGCCCCCAGCCGGCTGCACTATTTGTATCCCTCCTGACATCACCCCCCGCCGCCCCTCCCCTGACAGCTGCAGGATCCCGCTGTCCTGCCAGGAAAGGGCGGCGCTGGCCTTGGGGGCGGGGAGGCCAGCTACCCCCCAGCCCCGGCGGGAGGCCTGCGCCCCTCAGCTGGCGGGTGGGGGGCCCCGGGAGGGTGTGGAAGAGGCCGGTGGACCTAGGAGCCAGCAGTGGGGCAGACTGGCCCGCTGCTTCACTCGGGTGCCGAGCAGAACCGGGGATCCTCAGGCAGGCCCCTCTGGGGAGAGAGAGAAGGGAGAGGATCCATTTAGGTTGAAGGTCTCCCTTCTGCTCCAAGCAGAGATTTGGGGCCATTTTCTGAAAGGACAAGTCCTGTTCCCAGAAAGGCCACACATCTACGTTTTTTTTTTTTTTTTCTGAAGAGTGTCTAGAAGTGGCAGCAGTTGTGAGGGCTCAGGCAAAGACCTAGACTTGGAGGAGAAGGCTCTCCAGGCAGGTAGGGAGGCTGGGATACCCCGGGCGTGGGGAGCAACCCTGGCCAGAACTTGCTCAGTTATGTCCACTGTGACTGGGTTCCAGCCCTGAGCCTCAGTTTCCCTCTGAACTAGGCTAGGCCCTCCCAGCTGCCATTGGTGAGGGCGGGGCCTCCATTTTATAAACAAGTGTGATTTCCAGAAAGGGTCTGGTGCGCTTTCAGTTTCCAGTTCCTGTGTACACTTTCACCCCTGCCCTACCAACTTTCCCTGGCTTCTGCCCCCCTGTGTACAACCCCCACCCCCTCTCTGATTCATCCCCCTACTCACACCACCCACGCCCACACACAAGGGTTTGTGTTTTGTCAGGAGCCTCATGTCAACTAACCGTATCACCGGCAGCAGCAGCTGCCAGCCTCAAATACCAGAGCCGGTATTTATAGAGGAGAATGCTTCAGTTCAAGAAACAGGCACTCAGGAGAGGAGCTCTGGGGGGTGGGGGCCGGGTACCTGAAAAGGCATAGGTGTCAGATGGTAGAGGCAGGCTTGGGGTGGTAAACCCCAATCACTTCCAGCCCCCCCCCAAATACCCAACCCTCCAGCTTGGATGAAGTAAGCATGGAGCCCCCAAAGAGGGCCTGCCCATCCTGTCACAGCCCCCCTCCTTAGCACAAGGCACTGAGAATATCCCCACTTCTCCAGGAACACTGGCTGTCTCCCTACACCTCCATCTGGCACTCCACAGGCATCTCTTAGGCCTGACCCTTTTGGAATGCAAACCTTGGAAACAGAGCTCTGGTCCTCCTTTGACTCTGTCATCATCAGCAGAAGCAATTGCTAGCAGGCAAGCCCTTCACTTCTCTGTGTCCTCAGCTATAAAGTAGAAATGGTCAGCCTTGCCGTGTCTACCCTGTGAGGGTTTGAAGTAACAATACACAAATAATAATAATAATATCTTACATGTACTGAGTACCTACTCTGTGCCACTCTGCTGAGCACTCCACACCATTGCACCCCAATTCTCCAACAACCCCCCCAGGTAGGAACTAGTATGATTCCCATTTCATAACTCAGGAAACTGAGGCAGTCTGACATCAGAGCCTGTGCTTTTTGTCCAGGGTGAGTGTGACCTGTAAAGGGCTTTGTTGCTGCTGTCTTTCTGAAGCCCTATGACATTAACTGTCTAATTTTTATCCAAGAGACAAGCTTATGAGGTGGGTGGGGAGTACCAGATATTCTTATGCAGGCTTCAAGTCAGTGCAAGCTGTTGTGCTCTGGTTATTTTTATGTCTCATCTCCCAAACTAGATTATATGCTCCTGGAGAATCTCGGAGACTGTGTGGATTCTTAACACATCCCAGGCAGCACCATCTTTGTCATTCAAAATGGCCTGGAAGCTTTATTTCTCATCTCCTTAATCTGCTAACAAATGGTGTATTCTGGCAGTGGGTATGCACACACGCACACACACACACACACACACTACAGAGAGCCCACTGTTATTCAGATCCCAGCCACGCATGGAACTGCAGTGATTGGGTCTGACCTCAGCGGGACCAGTCATAGACCTTCCCTGGAATTGATAGTTGGAACTGGGATTGCTAAACAGCAACCTGTGACAACTATGTCTCCTGCTTGCTGGGGAGGTCTTTCTGGAGTAGGAGGGGGAGGGAGGTCAGCAAGCGAGGAGGAGCAGAGACCCCTGGAAAGGAGGAGACTGTCAGGCAGGAAGTCCTAAGTTCTAGGCCCCAGACCTGGTTCCTTCAGCTCTTCCCTTGATTTTTGAAAGCACCTCATTGCCTTCCTGGCTTCAGTGCTGATGAACTTTTCCCTTTTTTGCTCAAGGCATTTAGTGTCAGTTTCTGTCACTTGTTGCCAAAACAATCCTGACTAACCTGATATAGGGGACTGTGCAACCATTTCCATGATGCTGGCGAGGACAAGACATTTTGGGGACTCCTCTCTCCAACAGTCTCTGGGCCACATAAGGAAAGAGGTCAGCCCATGGCTTCAATTTTTTTGGTAAAATGAGGCAGAAAACGAATAATTGATGCTATCTATTGTCTAGTAAAAACCAACATCTACCAGACTTGGCACTGGACCACTTGGGGCTGTTTCCAAAACTTAGTTCTACCCTTGAGGATTTGCTACCATGGAACACAGCAAAACAACACTCAGGCTTGGAAGGCAGGTGGGAGAGGAGTGTTCCAAGCATATTCTGAGCGGGCAGCCCTGGCACCATCACCAGAGAGTGTCCAGCCTCCCCAGGGGAATTCTTAAAATTGGACACACTGAAAATCATCATAATTTATCTGAATGAGGAATGTTCTTGGTATAAAATTCAAGAGCTACATTTTACTCAAGGCATAAAATGAAAAGTAAGTCTCCCTCTTATTTTTTCTCTTTTCTTTGGGGTAATATTAGTTTACAATATCGTATAGATTGCGGGTGTACAGTTTCTCACCTCAGCTACTATATACTTCACAACATCTCTACCACCAAATGTCCAATCACTAATCCCCACCAAGCTATCCTCTCCCTCCTCTTCCCCTCTCATAACCATGATTTTGTTGTTTGTTTTTCTTTATTTTCCAGAAATGAGTGAAATCACATAGTATTTGTCTTTCTCTTTTTGACTCATTTCACTTAGTATAAGTCCCTTAAGTTCCATCCACATTGTTGAAATTGCCAACATTTTGTCCTTTTCGTGACTGGGTAGTATTCCATTTCGTATATATACCATATCTTCTTTATCCTTCTTCTGTTGTTGGGCACTTAGACTGTTTCCATATCTTGGCTATTATAAATAGTGCTGCAATGAACATAGGGGTACTTACATCTTTTCAAAATAGTGTTTTCACATTCTGTGGGGAAATAGCCAGAAGTGTGATTTTTGGATCATATGGTAGTTTTTTTACTTTTTTGAGGAACCACCATACTATTTCCCAAAGAGGCTGCACCAATTTACATTCCCAGCAACAATGCATATCCCTCCCACTCTTGACACCCCTCCATTCCATACCCCTCAGCAGACACAACCAGTTTTCAGTGGTGGTGCTTGTTTTTGCCCCTTCCAGGCATACTGTCTACATCTAAGCACATTTGTATATATGAATTCCCCCCTTTTACTCCTTTACATAATGTTCTGAATCAAGCTTTATTTCAATGAACATAAATCTCACAAATTGCTCCACTTTAGTACATTGACAGCTAACTCGTTGTTTTGTGTGTGTATAGTAAAATATACAAAACATAAAATTTACCATTTTAACCATTTTAAGTGTGCAAATATTACCACCAGCCATCACCAGAACTTTTTCATCTTCTCAAACTGCTACTGTACAACTATTAAAAATTCTCCATTCTCCTCCCAGCCCCAGTTGCTACCACTCCACCTTCTGTCTCTGTGAATTTGACTGTCCTAAATATCTACCTCATTTAAATGGAATCATACAATATCTGTGTTTGGCTTTTTTCACGTAGCATTATTTCTAATAGTACATTCATATTGTACCATGTCTGAATTTACTTCCTTTTTAAGGCTGAGTAATATTTCATTAGATGCATAAACACCATTTTGTTTATCCATCCATTCATTGATGAATATTCTGGTTGTTTCTAGCTTTTGGTTACTGAGAATAACATTTTGATGATTTTTGGTGTACAAATATCTATTCCAATTCCTGCTCTCAATTCTTTTGTGTATATATTCAGCAGAAAAATTACTAGATCATGTTAGTTCTATGTTTAATTTTTTGAGGAACTGTCTCCACAGCGGCTGCACCATTTTATATTCCTACCAGCAGTTCACAAGAGTCCAGTTTCTCCACATCCTTTCTGGGTTGTTTCCTTCTTCCCTTCCTTCCTTTTTTATTCTAATGGCTGTATGTCATTGTGGTTTTAATTTGTACTTCCCTAATGATTAGTGATTTTGAACATCTTTTCATATGGTTATTAGCTAGCCATTTGTATTTATTCTTTTTTAAAAAAAAGATTTATTTATTTATGCATACAAGAACTGGAGTACAGGTCAGAGGTGTGGGGGTGAGAGGATTCACCAGAGACAGAGTGGGGAGCAGAACAGGCAGACTGACTGAAATACACTGCTGAGGGGAGCAGCGGGCAAGTGGGATTAGCTTCCTGGCCAGGGATAGAACTCATGCTGCAGTGGCTATGTATAGCTTCATAGTGCTGTGACTTAACCCCTTGTGCCACCATGGAGGCACCCTTTTTGTATATATTCTTTGGTTAAATGTCTATTCCAGTCATTTGCCAGTTTTTGAATTGGGCTTTTTTTTTTTTTTTGAGTTGTAGGAGTGCTTTACGTATTCTATTTATTAGCCTCTTATCAGATATATGATTTGCAAATATGATGCACAAAATTTTAAATTTTAATAAAATCCAATTTATTTATTTTTTTCTCTCATTGTCCATATTTTTGTATCACATCCAAGAAATAATTGCCAAATGCAATATCATGTTTTCCTCCTGAGTTTTCTTCTAAGAATTG